TCTGCCAAGTCCCTTCAGAAAATATCTTCCATTGTCCAACCCATGATCTGATAGCTTGTTCCATCTAATAGCATTATAGATGTTCCATCTAATAGCATTATTATTATTGTTGTGCAGCATCAAGTCGGAACCAATTCACAGTTGATCATCCAGTAGATTTTCAGAGGTATAATGGCATGGGAGGAGACAGATCATTTCTTTTCCTCATAGTATCTGGTGGATTAAAATAAAGCCATGCACCTTTGGGTTGGCAGAATCACATTTAGTAGTATGCCACCAGCACTCCTTAATGTGCAGGGGTCAGGAATGGGTAAAAACATACTTTATATGTTGGTGTTGTTAAATTGCTGTTAAGTCAAGTACACTTCAAAGCGACCCTATGAATAATAGTCCTGAAGCCTTTCTGTAACTATAATCATTTCTCCAAGGTGATAGAGTTTCCAAAGGCATGTGATTTAGGAAGTGGATGCCACTCCTGCTTCCACACCTGTCTTAAAATAGGAGGTCCACCAAATACCATCCACAATGGGCAGCCATTAGGGCATTTGACACCCCTATGGCACAGGTTTCAGCATCACAGCAAGCACAGATTACATCAGTACAGCAAATTGACAGAAGAGTGCCGTACCACTTAGAAGAATGTTCCTCCGAATTACAATAAAACATACTTTCCACCCCACCCTCAACTAGAAGACGCACGCCCATTTTACAGATTCCTGCCGTGTCACGCAGTCACCAAAATATAGACGAGGGGTTCACGTTAAATCAAGAAGCCTCCAGGATGAAAAAAATGTCTTTTTTATATTTTTAACTACATCTAAAGAACTGTGGCAAAACCACATGTATCTTAAAACAATTGTGGTCTTCAGTAATCCACTTTGTGATGGTTGGAAGCAGTATGGAAAGTATACTTATTTTCTCTTAATTTCTTACGCCAGGGATACATCCTATCTCCATACCTTTTCAACCTGTATGCAGAACAGATTATCCGGGAGGCTGGGCTCTATGAGGAGAAATGTGGGGTCAAGATTGGTGGAAGATCTATCAACAATCTGCGTTATGCAGATGACACAACCCTGCTTGCTGAAACTGAGGAGGACCTGAAGCCATTACTGAAGAGGGTCAAGGACTGCAGCCTCCAATATGGACTGAGGCTCAATGTCAAGAAGACAAAAGATTCTCACTACTGGGACAACTGGCAGCATCAGGATGGATGGTGAAGAGATTGAGATTGCTCACAGCTTTAGTTTGCTTGGCTCCACAGTCAACACTCTTGGCACCAGTAGCCAGGTAATTAAAAGGTGTATTGCCATGGGAAAGGTGGCTGTTAGGGACCTCTCCAAAGTACTGAAAAGCAATGGTGTCTCTCTAGACATTTGATACAGGCCATGGTCTTTGCTATCACTAGTTAAGTATCAGAGAGTTGGACAATGACCAAGGAGGATAGAAGGAGAATTGGTGCCTTTGAGCTGTGGTGCTGGAGAAGAGTATTGAGAGTACCATGGACTGCTAGGAAAACAAACAGATACATCCTGGAAAGGGTTAAACTGGGTGGCTCCTTGGAGGCAAGGATTCTGAGGCTCCGTCTAACATACTTTGGACATGTTATAAGGAGAGACTGGTCCTTGGAGAGGGACATCATGCTTGGGAGGGTGGAGGGACAGCGCAGAAGGGGAAGGCCCTCTATGAGGTGGATTGAGTCAGTGACTGAGGTAATTGGGATGGGAATGTCACAGACAGTGCGACTGGTACAGGACAGAGCAGAGTTTAAGGCTGTTGTAAATAGGGTCGCTATGAGTCGCAAGTGACTCCACGGCACATAACAATAACAACAACAATTTCTTAAATTTTATATTGGTTTGAATACAAAATGTGTATACATTGTGTTTCACACTTTCCTTCTTCCACATTGTGTTTCTATCTTTGAGTTAAAGAATGGAGAAATATAAGCTCTGGTGGCTTAGTGGTAAGGAATTGTGCTGCCAAAGCAGAGGCATGCAGTTTGAAGCCTCTGAAAACCCACTGGATGGTCAGCTATGGGTCGGTTAAAGCCATGAGTTGCAATGCTTAAGGATGCTATGGGCAGAATATTGGACGGTTCAGGAAGCATTAAAAGAAAATGGATTACATTATGCTGAGTGAAATATCTCAGCCACAGAAAGACAAATATTGTGTAATGAAATTGTATAAAACAAGACTGACATGGGGTTTGGGGGGAAACTAAGGAAAGAGGGGATGAATAATGTACATGGCATTGAAACAGATGAGGGAGAGAGCTGTATAAAAAGGAATATATGATTAGGTATTGTCGGTATGACAAGAGTCCAGAATAAGAGCTGCATAGGAAAGTGGTCTGGGGGAGGAGGGAGACTGTATAACAATGAGTAACTTTTTTTTTTTCAAAGAAAAAAGCAAACTGAAGAGGAAGGGGGCAGGGAGTAATATGTGCAACAATGAATGAATAGAAATTCAAGTTCTTTATAAACTTAAAATATCAATATTTTTTTAACAAAAAGGAGATGGAAGGAGTGTATACCAAAAAGAATTGACTGACACAAAAGAATTTCAAGAAACAATATATATTCAAGAGGCAATGGTGATGAAGGAGGAAGTTCAGGCTGCTCTGAAGAACTTGCAAAAAAAATAAAGCCTAAGGAATTGATGGAATACAAACTGATGTATTTCAATAAACAGATGCTGTCTTTTATGTGGTCACTAAGTTGTGCCAAGAAATTTGGAGGATGACTACTTGACCAACTGACTGGAAGAGATCCACATTTATTCCTATTCCAAAAAAAGGGGACCCAAGAGAGTGTGGAAATTATTGACAAACATGCATACACACCCCTATATTTTGTCCTAAAGTCAGAGGAAAAAGACCAGAAATGTATGTCACAGTATGTTTATGTCATTGTTAATTTAGAGGGGTTCCCTCTCATTGCAACTGAGTTGGAATCAATGATAAACTCATAACTGATCCTACATTGGAACCCACTCATAGCTTATCCTACATTGGGTTTTCAGAAGCTGTTAAGAGATTGCCCATCTTTCTACTACGGGGCAGCTGATAGATTTGAACCACCTGCTTTTGGGTTGGCAATGCAGGTCCTTACCCTGTTGGCTACAACAACTCATTCTAACTGGAGAGGTTAGAATGGTCACCACACCCATATATTTAGTGTTCTTCAAATTGTCTATAATAAAAACATGGATTATTTTTACAATCAGACATTTTAAAATGTTCTTGATTTTCAGGCACTGGCTTCGTGGTAAGGAGTTGTGTTGCCGGCCTGTGGGTATACAGTTGGACTATACCATCTGCTCTGAAGGATGAGGGTGGGCAATCTCATCCCATGCGCTTCACCACCTCTGAAAACCCCTTAAGGGTCAGCTGCGAGTCAGCTCCAACTTGATGACATATAACAGCAAAGGCATTACAAAACTGGACTCTATTTTACAATTAATGTGTATACTTAATGAAAAAGTGGGATTTAAAAGGAAATAAGTTAGCAACGTTAAAGCGGCCTTACTGCCTTGTGTGGTGTCAGAGCTGGTGGGCTTGATGACCCGGTTTGCATCTTCATGAAGGGCTCCAAACCAGTCTTTCAGCCGGGACGCCAGATTCCTCAGCTCCTTGTCTGTGCAGGCTGGAGAAAAGGAAATGCAAGAAACAATGAACCTCTGCCCCTGCCCATATTGTGCCCTCATGAGCATAGCCTTGCTCAAAACAAACTCCCCTTTGCACCTTCACTATCATCTCTCACTCTGAAAACACCCCCCAAAAGATGCTGCTATGAAAGGTAAGTAGCATAACAGAGAGGTTTGAGTCCCCAAACAAGAGGCATTATTCAGAGCTTACAATTGAACTGCCTTCTGGCTACTAAAGCTTGTTCTAAGAGTCTCACAGTTGGGCCTCATCCTCCCAGATCCTTCTTGCTAAACCAGATAAAACTCATTGTGTGCGATGGAGCTGATTCTGGTCAACATGTTTACAAAGCAGATTGCTCCATCCTCTTCCTGCAGAACAGCTGGTGGGTTTGAATGGCAACCAAGCACTTAAGCATTGTGCCACCAGGATTTCTTTCACTAACACAAGTTGTAGTGGCCTCACAGTTTGGCAGCATGTTCTAAAGATGGTCACAACTGGACAAAACTTTGCTACTACAGTTGCTCCAGGGATCATATTTCCTAATAAACTCAGGCCAAAAGATTAACACCAGGAATGAACAGTTAATGGTCTTAGGGATAGGCTGCCTAGAACACCATATTCTCAATTTTATTTTTCCCCAAGATACAGATTTGTGAATTTGGCCTATTTTCCTGGCCTTTCTACTTGCAGATTCATTTTTTTCCTTTCCTATTATGTTGTTGTTGTTGTTATGTGCCGTCGAGTCGTTTCCAACTCATAGCGACCCTATGCACAACAGCCCTAAACCCTGCTCTATCCTGCGCCAACCGCACTGCCTCTGACACACCCATCCCGATTACCCCAGTCACCGAATCAGTCCATCTCATAGAGGGTCTTCCCCTCCTGCGCTGTCCCTCCACCCTCCCAAGCATGATGTCCCTCTCCAAGGACCCGTCCCTCCTGGCAACATGTCCAAAGTATGTCAGACGAAGCCCCAGAATCCTTGCCTCCAAGGAGTAGCTTGGTTTAATCCTCTCCAAGATGAATCTGTTTGTTTTCCTGGCAGTCCATGGTACATTCAATACCCTTCTCCAGCACCACAGCTCAAAAGCATCCACTCTCCTTCTGTCCTCCCTAGTCATTGTCCAACTCTCTGATGCATAACAAGCGATTGCAAATACCATGGCCTGTATCAGGCGCACCTTAGTCTCCATAGAGACACTGTTGCTCCTGAGTACCTTAGAGAGGTCCCTAACAGCAGACTTTCCCATCGCGATACACTTTTTGATTTCCTGACTGCTGGTGCCAAGAGGGTTGACTGTGGAGCCGAGCAGACTGAAGCTGTGAACAATCTCAATCTCTTCGGCATCCATCCTGACGCTGCCAATTGGTCCAGTGGCGAGAAAAGAAGATTCCTATTATAGGAAGACAAATTCTTCCTCCACAGAAGAGACCTAGCCATAACCACTCCAGCCCATCATTTAGGGTATGGCAGAGTAAATGGAGCAGCCAAATAGTCCTGCTGAGAACAAGAAATTCCAAAGAGCTGATGGATAGATGGTCAGATAGATGGATGAGAGGTAGTAGGCAAGAAGGGTCACACTATTTGAAGACCTCTTGGAATACTGAGTTTAAAAAGACTTGAGGGGAAGAAACCTCAAAGGAGGAAAAACTACAGCCTTTAGCTGCAATTCCCAGTGGCTTTTCTCTTCATGGTTTATGCTAACTCTGGAGCCTGAAGATCCTGGCCAAAAGCCCAAAGATCTCGTGTGGACCAAGAGGCAAAAAAAACTCACCAATGGATTTGCAGGCTTTTAAAGTCTGAAGGGAGATAAGTTTGAGTGAGATCTGAGCAGTCAGAACAGGGACAAAAAAGTAAATCCCACAATTATGACAGTTCCCAAATATCAAAGCTGCAAGGGGCTATGAAGCCATGAGAAAATCCTACACTATTAAGAGGAGCTCTGATTGTCTTGTCTGAGGAGGCACAGATTAGTGTTCCAAATCTGCCCTCTATGAGCAGCTCGGCAAACACCTCGATTCTCCACTGGAAGCCCTCACATCAGGGATCAAGAGCTTCACATACGGCTACTCCCTTCATACAGACCCCGTCAACTCTGCAAAGCACCCAGTGGATGTACATCCACTTATTATACTTGGATTATGAATGACCCTCATTTTCATAACCAAGGCATGGCTGAATTTTAAAACATAAGCCAGGAAATTGATTTAAGAAATGACTTCACAAACAACGAAGTCAGTCAGTTCTGGAGTCATACCCCTTGGAGATTGAATCTAGTTTTACCTCTGACTTCCTGAGTGAGTGCAAACAAGACACTTAACCTCTCAAAGTCTCATTTTCCACATCTGCAAATACAGATTTACAGTGTAAATCAGAGAGTGTGAACTAAATGCCATGTTCATGTTGTAATATATCATCAAGTTGGAATGAACCCATAGCTGACCCTCCACTGGGTTTATAGAAGTTGCAAATCACAGTGGAGGAGATTATCCCTCACAACATCTGGAGGATTTGAACCACCTGCCTTGGCAGTATAATCTTTACCAACTAGGCCATTAGAGCTCCTTTACCTAAGTGCATGATAGTTACTAAGTGCTCAGTATGTGCCAGCCATGATTTTCATTACATTACCGTAATTATAACTGTCCTCTACAAGTCTAGAATTTTTTTCTTTTTTAGCAAATCACATAAAAATCATAACACTAATAAGTCTAAACAAAACTGGGTATGGTTAGATAGAAAACAGGTGAAAATTGATACTTACACTGTTCAATAAATATTATTATTGGCCACCAGTAACCAGTTAAATTTAATAAGAATGAAACAAAATTGAAAGTTCAATTCCTATGTCATATTAACCACATTCCAAGTGCGTAACAGTCATATCTGACTAGTAAGTTTCATATTAGATAGGAGATATATCTGTATGTCAGAATGTATTCATCATAGTAGAACATTCTATTGGCCAGCACTGGGTGAGGTTAGCTGTCATTTGAGGATCCAACTTTGTGGAGGTTCTTCATAAAGCTATCCTAATATCCAAGGTTGTGTGTCACTCCTTCCCCAATACCTTCGAAAAAGGGCTAAAGAATGAAAAGTCATTAAAGCAAGACCCACATTACCCCACTCATTCCACCTCGGTCCTCTCCAGCCACAAAAAAGTATCTCAAGGTAAGCACTGCCCATTGACAAAAATTGACAAAAGGGAAAATAGTTGATACTGAAGGTCTCAGAAGCAGTCCCCACTAACATGCTATCTTAGTTTCTCAGTGCCGCTAAAACAAAACTACAAGCTTTAATGAACATAAATTTATTTTCAGACAGGTGGGAGGCTGCAAGTCCGAATGTAGGGTGCTGGCTCTAACGGAAGGATTTCTGTCTCATTGCTGGCTCCGGGGGAAGGACCTGGTGTTTTTTAGCTTCTGTGCCTTGGTTCTTCAGTGATCTTCATGTGGCATATGCGCTTCCTTCTCTGTGACTAATATGCCTTTTAATATTTCAAAAGTAAATGGCTTAAGGAACACCCTACACTATATGAAGAAACATTATGAAGAAAGTCCTATTCCCAAGAGGCACCCCAAGTGTAAGCTGTATAACAAATTATTTCACATATTCAACTAATAACACACAAAGACTGGCCCTGACCAAGGGCCTTTGAAGGGATTCAGGGTCACACTTCTGGCTCTTCTGAAAGACTTCACAAGTTTAAGAAGAAACTATGGCCTTTTTTTGTGAGGGGGATGGGACAAAGCACTGCTTTATAGTCAATCTTACATTTGATAATGAAAAATTAATAGCATCTATTTTTTATTATTGCCATGCATATCATCTATTCTGAATGTTCTTTGAGCAGAGAAAATTGCAAAGTCAACTTGCAAAAGAAATGAATCCCCATCTCACACTGCAAAATAAATTACTCATATTTAACTAAACTCTGACAGATGCGTAGGCAATCTTTATCTTTAGAAGAATGATGAATAATTTCTCATGGGCTTCCCAAAGTAAACAGCTTTTGGATAGCTGATAGAATCTGGCCAAGTAATCTTGAAAGACAATGTCTATAACTCTGTAAGAGGTCTAAAACCAGGGAGCCACACATATGGGTGAAAAATGATCCCATATCTGAAATGTGAAATTTTGTTGTTAGGTGCCATTGAGTCAGTTTCAAGTCACTGGGTGCCAAAAAGTTGAGCACAACTCATAGCAAGCTTATGAAAAACAGGTCTAAGCACTGTCCTATAGTGTGCCATATTCACAATCTCTGACACGCTCAAGCATTCTGCGGTAGTCACTGTGTCAATTCACCTGGTTGAGGTTTTCTCTTTTACTGACACTCCACCTTCCCAAATACTATGAAACTCTCTTCAAGGAACAGCCTCTTCTAACAGCATGCTCAAAGTGTGTGAGACAATGGAATTGCCAAATCCTTGCCTCCAAGGAGCCATGGTTTCATACTCTCTAGGACAAATATGTGTGTTCTCTTGGCAGTGCATAGTGTGTGCAATACTCCTCTCCAACACCACAACTCACAGACATTGTCCAGCTCTCTGATGCATAGCATGTAATTATGAAGATCATGGCCTTGATCAGGCACACTTTGGTCTCTAAATTGACATTGTTACCATTCAGCACTCCGAAGAAGTCCCTGACAGCAGCTTTTCCCAGTGCAATTTGTCTTTTGATTTCCTGACTGCTGGTGCCAAGAGTTGATTGTGGATCCAAGCAAGATATAATTATTAACAACCCCAATCAGTTTTCCATCTATCATAATGTTGTCAATTTGTCCAGTGATGAGAATCTTTGTCTTCTTGATTCTGAGCTTCAACCCATATTGAAGACTGAAGCCCTTGATCTTCTGTAGCAAAAGCTTCAAGTCCCACTCAATTTCAGCAAGCAAGGCTGTGTCATCTTAATAATACATGTTGTTGATGAGTCTTCCTCCAGTCCTGATGACATTCCTCCTCACAGAGCTCAGCCTTCTAAATGATATATTGCAT